GTTCGGGCGAACATCGAACACTGTTTGGCGAACATTTTAGGGGGAAAAAAAAAACCTGTTCGGTTCGCCTCGAACACGTTCGAGGCGAACCGAACAGGTGTTCGTTTTTTTGCTCAACCCTACTTGGCACCAACCCACCTTGGCTCCAACCCACCTTGGCACCAACCCACCTTGGCTCCAACCCACCTTGGCACCAACCCACCTTGGCACCAACCCACCTTGGCACCAACCCACCTTGGCTCCAACCCACCTTGGCACCAACCCACCTTGGCACCAACCCACCTTGGGCACTGGCTTGGGCACTAGCTGGCGCCTCCCATCAAACTTGAAGAAACGCGGAAAGCATTAGTTGCCACCAACCTTGTGGCATAGAGCAGGGAGAGAAAGGTGACGAATCTCCCGTCTCCCCGCGCCCACCCCCCCCCCCCCCCCCCCCCCCCCCTTCACCCACAAAACTGCTGCGCTTGCAAGCATAGCAACAATGACTTTGAGCAGCACGAGGTACCAACCTTGATGCAGAGAGCAGGGAGAGAAACGTGGCAAATCTCCCGTCTCCCCGCGGCCCTCCCCCCACCCATGCGCTGGGTCCCATGCGGGCTCGCACGCACACTGCTCGGGGTGATGGCGCATCCCAGGAGATGGTGAGGGCGTGGAACTGAGAGAGAGGGGAGAGAAAGGAAAGGCGGAGCGGGAATGCAATGAGGGAGGGACGCAAGGAGCTCGCACGCACACTGCTCGGGATGATAGCGCATCCCAGGAGATGGTGAGGGCGTGGAACTGGGATGAGGGGAGCGGGGAGGGATGGGAGGGGATGTGGGAAGCACACACTAGCTCATATGTAGACTGCTCACGATGATGGCTTTGGCGCATCCCATCCCAGGATACGTTGATGGCACGAAACTGGGAAGGTGGGATGGGAAGCAGACGCGAGCTTGCGCGCAAGTGGGTCGCGAGGAGATGAGAATGCTCATGGACATCGTGAAGCATGAAGGGAGCTTGGAAGCACACAGTGAGGGCACGGAACTGTGGAGGTGAATTTGAAGGTGGGTGGAGAAGGATGAGAGGAGGGTAGCGAGTGGAGGGGTGGACATGGATGAGAACTTGAAGTGACCGAGTCGACTCAAAAGTCACCGAGTGGAGGGGCGGGCGTGGCGTGGATGAGAATCTGAATTTAGAGGCGCCTAAATTTTGTTGAGACGGTTTTGAGGCGCCTCGAAAATTGAATTAGGTGGATAAGCATTCAATTTCGAAAAAAGCAAACTCCCACCACTCTAACCTCCTCCCACTCTAACCTCCTCCTACTCACCTCCTCCCACTCTCACCTCCTCCCAACCTCACCTCCTCCCACTCTCACCTCCTCCCACTCTCACCTCCTCCCACCCTCACCTCCTCCCATCCTCACCTCTTCCCACGCCAGCACACACTCTTCAATGCTCCCCATCGTCTTCCGCACCACCTGCCTTCGCCCCTCCGCCATCTCCTTCACCACATCAAACCCCCCCTCCCACCCCTCCTTTTGTTCCACTTCGACAGCTCCCACATCAAACCCCCCCCCCCCACCCCTCCTTCCACCCCTCTTCCCACTCTCACCTCATGTCAATCTCGCCTTTTCTCACTCGCCTCGTCTCAATCTCACCTCTTCCCACGCCAGCACACACTCTTCAATGCTCCCCATTGCCTCCCGCACCACCTGCCTCCGCCCCTCCGCCATCTCTCCCCCCATCACCACATCAAACCCCCCCTCCCACCCCTCTTTCCACCCCTCTTCCCACTCTCACCTCATGTCAATCTCACCTTTTCTCACTCGCCTCGTCTCAATCTCAAATTTTCTCACTCGCCTCGTCTCAATCTCACCTTTTCTCACTCGCCTCGTCTCAATCTCACCTTTTCTCACTCGCCTCGTCTCAATCTCACCTTTTCTCAAAATCACCTCCTCTCGAATGGTCCTTGCATTACTATGAGGGGTGGTACAAAGGAAGATGCAGAACACACAAGCACAACAAACATCCAAACCGAGATCCGGACTACCTCAAGTCTCCTACCTACTCACCCCCCCCCCCCTCTCTGTCCAACCATACTGGTCGAGCGGGGCCTCAATCAACTGGTGCAGCTGTCCCTCACTGAGAGGGATGATGGGTCCTCTGAAGCCGAGCTCGTCCGCCGCCAAGGCCTCGTTGGTCTTGGAGTGGAGGGCGTTGGCCTGCGCCCGCTGGAGGCACACGCTCCAGCGCTGGCGGTACTCCGTCAGCAGCTTCACTGCTTCGTAGGAGGTAGGAGCCGCGTTAAACCGCAGCTTTGCCGCCAGCTCTGCGCACTGCCGCAGGTAAGCCATCACCCCCGGCGAGGGGTAGCCATAAGTCTCCACTGCAAGCGCGTGGAACCCCACCCACGCGTTCCGCCGTGCGTACTTATCCTCCTTTTTCTCTGCTGCCGCCCTGGCCGCCCATCCAGGAGCTCGGTTGCAGTTCTCGTCCTGCCTTGACACCGGGTCCGTCACGGTCACGTCGCACATCCAAACCTCACCAGTCAGGGGATGATGGATGGTGACATCCGCCTTTAGGTTTTCAACCATTGAGTAGACATACGTCTCCTTGTGAACCGTAAACCCCGCCTCCGCCCCAATGTTCGCTATCTCATCCCGCAGAGCGTGGTGGGTTGCGGTCCTCCCTTTCCCATTCTCGCAGCGCATGAGGTGGTTGGGGAGGCGGTCGTCGGGGAAGGTGGTGCGATAGCGGCAGTCACAGCGTCCAGGCACTGGGAGGGGGAGGCCTAGGCGGAAGGCAGCTGCAGTTGAGAGCTGGGACGGGCCCATCCGGAGCGAGGGGGTGAGCGGGATCGCCAGCAGCCAATCCCCCGCGCCTGGGCCCAGCACCGACTGCATCCGTTGCGCATGGCCAGAGCGGGGGTTGGGGCGCATCCGCCTTGCCTCGCGCATGACTCTTAGGAAGCGGCGGGTGTGAACCGCCAGTGCTAGGTTCTGCTGCAGCTTCAGTCCATGGGGGTCCGCCTTCCCGGCCTGCAGCACCTCGAGAGCCTCGGGGGGCAGGGCTGCCTCAGCCGCGGCGAGGCGTGCAGGTAGCGCGTGTGGGGAGCCGTGGGTTGGGTCCAAAGGGGGAGGAGCGCGGCGACAGCGGGGTTCAACGAGTCCTCCAGGGAGTGCAAGAGGTGGGCTGTGCTGATCACTGAGGCGAGGTAGGCATAGCTGCCTTCAACGGCGGGGTCAGTGATGCCCAGGCCTCCCAAAGTCACAGGCAAGGCCGCCTGCCGCCAAATCCTCCGTCTCTCCCAAACGCTCCTCGGCCTCATGATGTGGGCCGAGTCTAGGAAGGTGTGAAGGAGTTGTTCCCCCAAGCGGACCATTCGGCTTCAGGGAGGGCCTCTAGGGGGGTGCTTCTGGCCAGGAAGGAAGCTCGGCGGCTGACACAGCGGGTGAGGAGGAGGAGGGCAAGTTGGGGGTCCATCTGGGCCAGCAGGGGGAGAGGCGCTGCTGCTGCTTCCAATCTCGCTCTCACAGCATCTGCTCAGCCTCGGGCAGTGCCCACGGGGCTGCCGAGAATCTGCAAACCCTCCTCAGAGATGGTGACGCCTGGGGGGACTGAGGAGGCGTCGATTGCTGCGGCGGACCGCGCCGCGCACTTAGCCGGATTGTGCACCAGGCCGAGGGCGGCTAAAGGCCGTGGCGTCGCCGAGCAGCGTGATATCATCGGCGTACAGGACCACCTGAGGGTGTGCAGCCGCCGCGTCCACGAGGCACGGGTGGATGCTAGCCGTGAACAGGAGTGGGCCGGGCGGGTCTCCTTGGCGAACACCCCTGGCGCTCTGCAGCGGGGCTGCGCCGAAGTCGTGGTCGAGGAAGAGCGAGGAGGGAGTCCCTCGTTTTTCAGTCCTTCAAACACCGCCCTCCTTTCGACCGCGTTGAACGCATTCGCGAGGTCAATCTGCAGCGCCACTGCCCCTGGGTGCACTTCCAGGTACGTGCGAGCGGAGTGGATAGCCGCTTCGATCCCTCCCGCTACTGCGACTCCGAACTGAAGCGGAGCAAAGTGGGTACGAGCGGTCGGCGCAGTGAGGAAGAGCGCGGCTTTTGCTATTATCCGGAGGAGGCACTCCCCCACCACAATCGGCCGCGTCCCTCCCTGTGGTTTCGTAAATGCTAACAGGCGGGATGACGTTAGAAGATCCCCAGCGACTGTGGGGAGTTTTCCTGCTAGAGCTGTGTTATTGAGGGCGAGGAGGTGGGTGAGTACTTCGGCGTTGCCCAGGGCTGCGTCGCGGATGTGCTCGAAGGTTGTTCCAGATGGGCCGGCCCCTACTCCGTTGGGGAGTTTGGCGAGGAGGCGTCTGAAGTCGCGAGCTTCGATAGTGGGTGGGTCTTCCGCTGTGGCAGTGCGGAGCCAGTCAGTAAGTGGTTGGCAGGCGGATGGGTGTCTCGTCGTGAGGGCTTCCAACACTTCAGGTGAGGCGGGAGACACAGGAGTGGCCTGGAGGGATTGGAGTGATTTTGACAGGTTACCCCGTTTTGCGAGTCCTTCTGCCCGTGCCAGTATCCCCGTTGTGTCAGGTGAGTGGCGAGGTTGAGGTGGCAGTGAGATCGCCTGGACAGCTTCTTCGTACAGGTCCCCCCGGAGGCCTTGGCGAAATCGCTGGAGCCGATTCATCATCGCGCTCCAGTCAGGTTTGCGGGCTGACGAGGTGCGGAGGAGTAAGCGCGGGAGAAAAGTCAGTAAGTTCCATCCTGGTGGAGACTCAAGATTGGCCGCCAGGTGGAGTAACGGAGTCAACATGCAGATCGCGAAGGAGTCGCGAAGGTCTTTGGTGGGGTGTCGAGCGAGGGGAGGTTGGCGACTGTCGCGCAGCGGGTCAAGGTTCCAGTCTGCAACCTGAGCGAAAAGGTCAGTATTTTTGGCCAGGTCGTCAGGTTTGAGCGTTGGTGGGGTTGGGGAGGGGCCTGCAGAATTATCATTGGCTGCTACAGAGTCAATTCCGTCTTCTGTCGCGGCTCAATTTCCCCCCCTTGCACGATTTCCCCCCGCGGTTCGATTTCGACCTGTGGTTCGAGTTGCAGGTTCGTCCCGGGCCTGATGGTTTGGAAACTCCGCTTCTCGAAGTAGCGTCTCCAATTCTTCCTCGTCCTCGGCTTCTGCTTCCAACATCCCCTCTCTTTCTGGGTTGAAAACAGGGTCACCCCCTTCGCTTTCTTCATTCTCAGCTTCGTCCTCTGCCTCCTCGCTGTGCTCCTCCTCGCCGCCTTCCACGCCTTCGCGTATTAGCCGTCCACCAGTTCTCGCGTAACCGCTTGCGCCGGTGCGGCGCCGATTTGTGCCGCGCGCTCCTCCACCTCTTCGTCCTCTCCCATTCCCTCGTCGTCCGCGGCGGCTGCTGCCGCGTCCCACGCGGATACCCCGCGTTCCTCTCCCTTCCGCGGCTCCCACGCGCCCTGCCTGCGGCGCCACGTCCACCTCGTCCTCGTTTAGTCGGCGTGATGGCGTCGGCTGCGGTGCGGTCGGGGGTGATGGATCCATCCGCGAGACGGGATCCGGAGCTCGAGGGATCCGCGAAGAGCGCGTTGCCGGAACCTGCGCCTGGCGGTCTTCGCCCGCGTGTCCCTGCGCACCCCTCCGCAAGCGAGCCCGTCCGCCGCTTCGACCGGGTGCTGACTCTTCCCCAACGGCCTGCCCCGCGCCCCACCTAGCCGGAGTATTCGTGGGCCCCTGCGCGTGTTGCGTCGAACCGCCCGAACGGTCAGCCGCAGCAGGAGCGCGGGCGCTCGCCTCTGCGTCAGCCTCCGCGGCAGCCCTCTCCTCGGCGCCCATCTCCTGAGCATCGTGAGGCTCATCCGCGGGGTGGGGGCGATCGGCGATCCCCTGGGCGTCCTCGTTCTCCTCGCCACCCGTCTCCTCGTGGTCGGGCAGGCCAGCGCTCACCCCGAGCGCGATCCCCCGCGCAACGGTCTCCGCGGCGATCTCCGGCGACGAGGGGGAGAGGGTCGCCTGGACGTCGCTGGGATTCGGGGCGTCGCGAGCAGTCCCCCCCGCGTCCTCACTCGGCAGGTTCTGACGGCCGGCGAGGCCGGCGGAATGGCGGAGGTCGTGGCGGTAATGGTCGCTAGCAGGATCCTGCCCTCGATCACGCCGCAGACACGTTTGTGGAGGTGGTGCGGCAGGCCCGGGCGAGTGGGGGGCCGACTCACGTCCATATAGAGGTGACCAACGGTCCCCCCTTCGCAGGGAAGGCAGGGAAGGCACAGAGGGCCCCTTAAATAGGCTCAGAGGGAGAGGGCAGAGGGAAGAGGGAGAGGGCTGAATGCTAAGGCCTTCTCTCTCTCGCTCTCTCTCAACCGAAGAAAATGAAACACCCACGAAATAATGAGGCAGGGAAGGCACCGAGGGCCCCTTAAATAGGCTCAGAGGGAGAGGGCAGAGTGAAGAGGGAGAGGGCTGAATGCTAAGGCCTTCTCTCTCTCGCTCTCTCTCAACCCACGCCTCTCCCACTTTCACCTCCTCCCCATTCTCAGCTCATCCCAAGCCAGCACACACTCTTCAATGCTCCCCATTGCCTCCTGCACCACTTGCCTGCACCTCTGTAATCTACACTAAACCTCCCCTCTTATCCCTCCTCCCACCCTCACCTCCTCCCACTCTCACCTCATCGCACGCCTTCACATACTCGTCAATGCTCCCAATCGCCTCCCGCACAACCTGCCTCCGCTCCTACGCCATCTCCCCCCCATCACTGCGTCGAACTCCCCCTCCCACCCTTTCTCCCCCTCTCACCTCACTTGAAGCTCGCCCCTTCCCCCTCTCACCTCATGTCGATCTCGCCTATTCTAACTCACCTCCTCCTCAATCTCACCACATCCCATGCTTGCACACACTCGTCAATACTCCCCATTGCCTCCCGCACCACTTGCCTCCTCCCCTCCGCCATATCCTCCCCCATAACCGCATCAAACTCCGCCTCCCACCCTTTCTCCCACCCCCTCGCCGCATCACACACCCCCACCTCGCCCTCCCCTGCTGCTGGCCCCGGCCAGTTAGGTTCAGAAGGGGCGATGCGGGAGACGAGAGCTCGGGCCTGAAGGAAAGGGTCAGGCGCGTGGGGGGAGGAGGAGAGATGAATGAGGTTGAGTCACACACACCCCCACCTCGCCCTCCCCCGCTGCTGGCCACGGCCAGTTAGGTTTGGAAGGGGCGATGCGGGAGACAAGAGCTCGGGCCTGGAAGAAGGGGAAATGAGAAAATATGGCCAGTTCCTGCCAGAAGCACACAGGTGGTCGCATGGCCGGCACGTGTAAAAAGTGAAATTTTGAGACGTCTCAAAAGAAGTAGCCTCTTGCAGAGAAAGGAAGGATTCGAACTGAAGCAAGCGGTGTGGTCGCAACAAGCCGTGTGGTTGCAGCAAGCCGTGTGGTCGCAGCAAGCCGTGTGGTCGCAGCAAGCCGTGTGGTCGCAGCAAGCCGTGTGGTCGCAGCAAGCCGTGTGGTCGCAGCAAGCCGTGTGGTCGCAGCAAGCCGTGTGGTCGCAGCAAGCCGTGTGGTCGCAGCAAGCCGTGTGGTCGCAGCAAGCCGTGCGGTCGCAGCAAGCCGTGCGGTCGCAGCAAGCCGTGTGGTCGCAGCAAGCCGTGTGGTCGCAGCAAGCCGTGTGGTCGCAGCAAGCCGTGTGGTCGCAGCAAGCCGTGTGGTCGCAGCAAGCCGTGTGGTCGCAGCAAGCCGTGTGGTCGCAGCAAGCCGTGTGGTCGCAGCAAGCCGTGTGGTCGCAGCAAGCCGTGCGGTCGCAGCAAGCCGTGCGGTCGCAGCAAGCCGTGTGGTCGCAGCAAGCCGTGTGGTCGCAGCAAGCCGTGTGGTCGCAGCAAGCCGTGTAAAAAGTGAATTTTTGAAACGTCTCAAAAGAAGCACACAGACGGTCGCATGGCCGGCACCAGCGGCAATCTCCCCTTATCAGTTACCTTCCTCCCAGAAGCACACGGGCGGCTGCACGGGCGGCATTTGCCGCTATTTAGCGGTACTGAGGTGAGGAGTTGAGAGAGCACATGGGTGGCAGCACATGGGTGGGAGCACATGGGACGCGGCACAAGGGACGCGGCACAAGGGACGCAGCACAAGGGACGCGGCACAAGGGACGCGGCACAAGGGACGCGGCACAAGGGACGCGGCACAAGGGACGCGGCACAAGGGACGCGGCACAAGGGACGCGGCACAAGGGACGCGGCACAAGGGACGCGGCACAAGGGACGCGGCACAAGGGACGCGGCACAAGGGTGGATCTGTCCTTTTGAGAATTCTAAAAAAAAATGGGTGGTGGCACATGGGACGCCTTTGCCTTGCAGGGCTTTTGCGAATCCTCGAAAACCACCAGTAACAACTTTTGATGTGCCCAAAAAAAACTTCACTCTTCTTACCTTTTCGCCTGTAGCACACGGGCGGCTGCACGGGCGGCATTTGGCGCCATTTAGCGGCACGGAGGAGTTGAGGGAGTAAACGGTGGGGGCACAGCCGTCAGTGTAGGTGCGTTGGGAGAGCACACAGAAGGGCAGGCTGGCTCGTTGCACCTTGATGCCCCCTAGCGATAGCTGGGCTTTAAAGGCTCCTTCTGAATTGAGGTTCCTGAGAGGAAGAGCAAGAGGAGGGTGGGGGGTCAGGCATGGGAGGAGGGTAGGTGAGCGCACAGAAGGGCACGTTGGCTTGTTGTACCCTTCTGGGCTAGCTGACGCCCTCCAGGGCTAGCTGGGCTTTAAGGGTCTCTCTGAGTTGAGGTCTCTGGGACGGGGAGAGGATGGTGGGAGGGAGAGGCAGAGCAGGGGACGGAGAAGCAGAGCGGGGAGGGCGAAGCGGAGCAACATTCCCACCCATTCACACCCATTCACACCCATTCGCTCACCGCATCTTCCGCCTTGCCAGCAGCTGCAGCGCACTCAGCCGCTTCAACGCTGCTTCACTCGCCTGCCTCCCTCCCATCCCAAACCGGTCGTTAAGCCCCCACCAGTCCGACCCATACGGAATCGTGTAGGCCAAGTTATCACCCACCCCAATGTCATCAAGAATTTCTGCTGCTGCTACTGCTGCTCCTGCTGGTGCAGCGGCGGTGGTGGCTATAGCAGGGACACTGGGCGGCAGGATGGGCGGCGGGGGTTGGATTGGAGCGGGGGCGGTCCAGAGGGAGTCGAGGCGGGCTCGCACGATCCAGTTGTAGCGCAGGGGCGGTGCTGACGTGGCTTCAAACGATTGGATCATGTCCCAGCACCCCTCCACCAGGCGGAAGTACTGTAGCAGACCCTGCAGGCCGCTGGGGGAATCTCCAGTGAACATCACGCCAGTGGGGTATTTTGTCTCATCCACGTCACTGTTCGGGAAGACCCTCACAGATGCTATGGCGTTTTCCCGCGCCAGCTGTGGCCAATCCCGAGCTGCCACGTCATTACCCCTCGGCTTCCGTTTTAATCCAGAATTCCAGCTAATACTGCTGCCCCAGATGCCGCTGCTGGTACTACGGACGAAGCTTCGGAGGAAGCTGAGTTTGGCAGCGGTTTCGTCTAGAGGCGCGTGCAGGAAGAGGTGTAAGGGGCGGTGGGAGAGGTGTGAGGAGCGGTGGGAGAGGTGTGAGGAGCAGTGTGAGAGGTGTTGGGGGGAGGGGTGCGCGGAGGGCAGCAGCAGGTGGCGCAGCAGCGAGGGGCCCGTTGCCTCAAAGGCCCGCGCCGACCCCACCAGACACACTGCTATGGGCGGCTGGGGGGAGGGGAAGAGAACATGGGAATGAGGAGGGATGAAGAGGGGGTAGAGGGTTGATTCAGTCTGCCTCAAAGGCAAGTGCTGCCGACCCCACCAGACACACTGCTATGGGCGGCTGGGGGGAGGGGAAGAGAACATGGGGAAGAAGGAAGAATGGAGAGGGGGTAGAGGGTTGATTCAGTCTGCCTCAAAGGCACGTGCCGACCCCACCAGACACACTGCTTTGGGAGGAAGGCGTGGCGACTGGGGCCACGGGGCAGGGGGCATGGGGCATGGGGCAGGGGGCATGGGGGGCATGGGGGGCATGGGGGGCATGGGGCATGGGGCATGGGGCATGGGGCAGGGGGCATGGGGCATGGGGCATGGGGCAGGGGGCAGGGGCCATGGGGCATGGGGCATGGGGCAGGGGCCATGGGGCAGGAGGCAGGGGGCAGGGAAGGAAATAGAGCAGTGACACGCACATGGAGCAGGGAATAAAATGGTTGATTCAGTGGCCTCACGGCACGTGCTGATTCCACCGGACGGACACATTGCGATGAGGTCGAGGCGGAAGCGGCGGGTGGGGAGGGGGGTGGGGAGGGGGTGTGGGGTTTGAGAACGTGTTGTTGATGGGGTGGTTTCAAAGGCATGTAGTGATCACAGATTCACAGCCTCACATGATGGTGAGGAGAAGAGAAGGAGGTGGTGCGGCGAAAAGAGGTTTGCGACATCTTGGGATGCCTGGATTTGAGCCAATTTAATCTGAGACTGACTTTGAACCGACTGAATTTGAGACCTTTAGCTTTGCGTTGACTGAATTTGAGACCTCTAGCTTTGAGCTGATACAAGTTCACCCAAGTTCACTCACTCTCACTCTCTCGTTCATTCACTAATGCCCTCAATCCCTCCCTTACTCACTCACTCACTCGCATCACCCCCTCCTCCAGGAGCCTCGAGGTTGTCGCGCCACGAGCGTCTGGGCGGCCAGTGCACCGCCGAGAACGCGGCCATCAGCACGGCAAAGACTAAAACGAAAGCCGTGGCCAAACCTCGCTCACTCACTCACTCACCCACTCACATCATCATCCCTTTCTTCAGGTGCAATGAGCTTGTCGATCCACGAGCGTCTGAGCGGCCAGTGCACCGCTGAGAACGCGGCCGTCAGCACGGCGAAGACTAAAACGAAAGCCGTGGCTCTTAGAAGCACCATCGCGCCGCCGCCTGCTAGTCCGGCCTTTAGGCGAGTAAAGGCCGCACGAGCTATGCGAAGCGCCCTCCAAATGTAACCTAAGGTGGCGGGTGAGGGGTGAGTTAATTCCATAGAAAAACAACCGCGTAGAAGACCAAACCGAAGAAAGGTGAGTGAGCTACTAGCGGGAGAACTGAATTCTGACAGGAGCTCGGCCCCGATCCTAACCAATCGCTTCGGCTACAGACGTAGTAACGCGCAAATGACACTCGCTGAGTGTGACTGTATCAGAAGCACCGGCTACTCGTTTCAGGCACAATCAAAACGACCCTAAGACTTGTTCTGGCGACCAGTAAGGGGATTCGTACTGCAAGCTCAATTTAAGGAGAATCCAGACCGTGCTGGGCCTCTTCGAATCGACTCAAAATGACGGACAAAATTCCGGATTAGTCGGAACCTTGGTCCCTTGTACCCGCACGCACAGTATCATGCCCACGTTCCAATTTTCCTGCCGGTTCTCTGTGCATGTTCAACGCCGCCGAGTGCTCTACGACGCGCGATGGCCATTTCTTGGCTTCTTTGCAAGGTCCCGGCGATCCTAACAAACGATTTTATACTCGTCCTCGAAAACGCGGCCCGAACGATGGCAGACAAATAGCTCCCTTGAAACCTACGCGTAAAGAGGCCCTGGCTGGCAGGCAGGCAGCCGCACAGAGTAAACAAATGAAACCACCGATTCCGCATCCTCTTGGCATCTGCTCCGCACTAGTCTGCTGTACGTCCCAGGCATTTAGCTGGCCAACGTCCGTCCTGGCAACGTCGAGCGACGTGCGATGTCAGCGTCAACTGACCGCGGGCAGGAAAAGGCCATCAGGATGAAGTAAAAACCCTCAACACCATGCGGGATTTCGTGATTAGGGCGGGGTCCGACAATGATCAAATTCATGCTTGCTGAGGGGTATGCCAACTGTATGGGGTTATTGTTTTTGCCCGCAGGCAGCCGTTGGCCCAGTCAGGTTTCTATGGCTCGACTAATCGCCTGAGATATACCTACCCCGTTCGGTCTGATACTGTAGAAAAGCCTGAGAGCAGAGGAAAATCAGCTGAAACTGGGGAGCAGTGGCATCGAGGTTGTGGTTATGGCGAATGTCACGTTGCCACGACGACTCGCCGCCACACCTTGGGTATTCGATCGACGATCCTAACTGCGATGAGATAGGCTGATTACTTGACGTACCTTTCTGGAGTCTCATCCATGATTTCGATTGGTCCGGTGCTGACAGCGTGTAACCTTGATTGGTCCGAAGAGGAACTTCCATAGGCCTGACGACGAGGGCTGCTGACCTAGGGAGCAGCGCCGGCCGGATGCATTATGGCGAATGTCGCCACGGGCAAATTGTGTTTCGACGACACCCCTACGTTTCGTTTGGGTGATTACTCGAGGTCCTTGTCATGCGTGAGTTCGATTGGTCCGGTGCTGACAGATTGTAACCCCGATTGGTTTGACGACTGTTTACACTATTTTCCCGCCAAGTCCGGTTTTAGTAATCAGCTGTCAGTCGACTGACAACTGCGATGATGCCATCAACCGTAACACTGAATAAATATATCCCTGTAACTCAAAAGGCAGAAACTGTTCGCAGTCGCCTCAGGTGTCGAGCAGTGCATACAATCCTGGCCTTCAGGTATTATTTTATGGAAAGGCTCGCACACGTAGTAACAGCTAGTCGTGAAAGGTTTCTTATGGAATCTCTTCTTTCCCCCATAACGCGTTTTTTTGCGTCACCCCGTCCGCGCTTGTGGCAAAATTCGACCCCCTAACGTTGACGGGTGATGATCACATTGGGCCGTTCTTTGTGCCAGGGCCGTTCGCTCACGAGTATTTTGTTTCAAACCCTAGAAAGTCCCCATAAGTAGGAATGTGCATGTGATTGAGTCGACTCGACAGTCGCGTCACACCTGGGCTTGCGCCTCGGCCTCAATGGCTGAGTCACTTCCGAGCTTGGACCACGCGGTTCGTCAACCCCTTCTCAGTCTACTCCAAGGTCAAGGCTCACAGGTTGACGGAACGAAACCTGCTTGAATTATGAGCCTGGACCACGCGATTCGTCACCCCGTAACCCCTTTTTGACTCAACTCAAAAGTCATTGCTCACAGGTTGAAGGTAGCAAATCCGCCTGATTTTCGGCCTCAGTTCATGGCTCCCTCCCCGTTTCGCCTTCCCAAGTCGCGTGATCGCGCCGCTGGCGGTTCCTGTTGGCTGCAGCCGCGCTCGGGATTGCGGTCCGTGTGCCTGCTAGCAGCCTGCGCGGCGGCGCTGGTTCCGCTGCTTGTCTCATTCTCGGCCTTGAATGCAACGAATCAGGGCACTTTGGAGGTGAGGTGAATATTTCTCTGGTGGCTGATACAGCCGCTCGTGCCGCTGCTTATCTATCTGTCTGGCTTGAATACACCGAATCAGGACAACTCAGAGAATAAGGAGCGAGCGGTGAGATGAGACACATTGGTGCGCGTTTCCGGGAAATAGCCGTTTATATCACGCCACTGAACTGCTACCTGCCTACGGGTCCCAGTGCCCTCTTTCCCTGCCCTCTGCCCCCAATCCCCATCCCTCTCCGCTGTGCCTTGTGTCTGGTGAGCTCACCGCGTGCCTTTGAGGCTATTTGATCAGCTCTTTCACTTCCCCCTCCGTCTTTCCCACTGCTCTCTTTCCTTCCCTGCCCCCTGCCCCCTGCCTCCTGCCCCCTGCCCCCTGCCCCCTGCCCCATGCCCCCAGCCGCCCATAGCAATGTGTCTGGTAGGGTCGGCGCGGGCCTTTGAGGCAACGGGCCCCTCGCTGCTGCGCCACCTGCTGCTGCCCTCCGCACACCCCTCCTCCCACCCCTCACACCGCTCCTCACACCTCTCCCACCCCCCACACCACCCCTTACACCTCTTCCTGCACGCGCCTCTGGACGAAACCACTGCCAAACTTGGCTTATTTGGAGGAATCAAGGGGGGAGGGTTTGGGGCAGGGGGGCTTGGAGTAGAGGGTGTGACTATAGCGAGTGTGAAGATCTTCCCGAGCAGTGATTTGGACGAGACAGACAACAGGAAAAGGGCGCTCAACTGGGAGTCCTCGCCTCAGGGCTTGCAGGTGAGCAGGAGGATGAGAGACGTGGTGACTCACAAGTCACCAGGTGGGCAGGAGGATGAGAGACGTGGTGACTCACAAGTCACCAGGTGAGCAGGAGGATGAGAGACGTGGTGACTCAAAAGTCACCAGGTGGGCAGGAGGACGAGAGACGTGGTGACTCACAAGTCACCAGGTGAGCAGGAGGATGAGAGACGTGGTGACTCACAAGTCACCAGGTGAGCAGGAGGATGAGAGACGTGGTGACTCACAAGTCACCAGGTGGGCAGGAGGATGAGAGACGTGGTGACTCACAAGTCACCAGGTGGGCAGGAGGATGAGAGACGTGGTGACTCAAAAGTCACCAGGTGGGCAGGAGGATGAGAGACGTGGTGACTCACAAGTCACCAGGTGGGCAGGAGGATGAGAGACGTGGTGACTCAAAAGTCACCAGGTGGGCAGGAGGACGAGAGACGTGGTGACTCACAAGTCACCAGGTGAGCAGGAGGATGAGAGACGTGGTGACTCACAAGTCACCAGGTGAGCAGGAGGATGAGAGACGTGGTGACTCACAAGTCACCAGGTGAGCAGGAGGATGAGAGACGTGGTGACTCACAAGTCACCAGGTGAGCAGGAGGATGAGAGACGTGGTGACTCAAAAGTCACCAGGTGAGCAGGAGGATGAGAGACGTGGTGACTCACAAGTCACCAGGTGAGCAGGAGGATGAGAGACGTGGTGACTCACAAGTCACCAGGTGAGCAGGAGGATGAGAGACGTGGTGACTCACAAGTCACCAGGTGAGCAGGAGGATGAGAGACGTGGTGACTCACAAGTCACCAGGTGAGCAGGAGGATGAGAGACGTGGTGACTCACAAGTCACCAGGTGAGCAGGAGGATGAGAGACGTGGTGACTCACAAGTCACCAGGTGAGCAGGAGGATGAGAGACGTGGTGACTCACAAGTCACCAGGTGGGCAGGAGGATGAGAGACGTGGTGACTCACAAGTCACCAGGTGAGCAGGAGGATGAGAGACGTGGTGACTCAAAAGTCACCAGGTGGGCAGGAGGACGAGAGACGTGGTGACTCACAAGTCACCAGGTGAGCAGGAGGATGAGAGACGTGGTGACTCACAAGTCACCAGGTGAGCAGGAGGATGAGAGACGTGGTGACTCACAAGTCACCAGGTGAGCAGGAGGATGAGAGACGTGGTGACTCACAAGTCACCAGGTGGGCAGGAGGATGAGAGACGTGGTGACTCACAAGTCACCAGGTGGGCAGGAGGATGAGAGACGTGGTGACTCAAAAGTCACCAGGTGGGCAGGAGGATGAGAGACGTGGTGACTCACAAGTCACCAGGTGGGCAGGAGGATGAGAGACGTGGTGACTCAAAAGTCACCAGGTGGGCAGGAGGACGAGAGACGTGGTGACTCACAAGTCACCAGGTGAGCAGGAGGATGAGAGACGTGGTGACTCACAAGTCACCAGGTGAGCAGGAGGATGAGAGACGTGGTGACTCACAAGTCACCAGGTGAGCAGGAGGATGAGAGACGTGGTGACTCACAAGTCACCAGGTGAGCAGGAGGATGAGAGACGTGGTGACTCAAAAGTCACCAGGTGAGCAGGAGGATGAGAGACGTGGTGACTCACAAGTCACCAGGTGAGCAGGAGGATGAGAGACGTGGTGACTCACAAGTCACCAGGTGAGCAGGAGGATGAGAGACGTGGTGACTCACAAGTCACCAGGTGAGCAGGAGGATGAGAGACGTGGTGACTCACAAGTCACCAGGTGAGCAGGAGGATGAGAGACGTGGTGACTCACAAGTCACCAGGTGAGCAGGAGGATGAGAGACGTGGTGACTCACAAGTCACCAGGTGAGCAGGAGGATGAGAGACGTGGTGACTCACAAGTCACCAGGTGGGCAGGAGGATGAGAGACGTGGTGACTCACAAGTCACCAGGTGAGCAGGAGGATGAGAGACGTGGTGACTCAAAAGTCACCAGGTGGGCAGGAGGACGAGAGACGTGGTGACTCACAAGTCACCAGGTGAGCAGGAGGATGAGAGACGTGGTGACTCACAAGTCACCAGGTGAGCAGGAGGATGAGAGACGTGGTGACTCACAAGTCACCAGGTGGGCAGGAGGATGAGAGACGTGGTGACTCACAAGTCACCAGGTGGGCAGGAGGATGAGAGACGTGGTGACTCAAAAGTCACCAGGTGGGCAGGAGGACGAGAGACGTGGTGACTCACAAGTCACCAGGTGAGCAGGAGGATGAGAGACGTGGTGACTCACAAGTCACCAGGTGAGCAGGAGGATGAGAGACGTGGTGACTCACAAGTCACCAGGTGAGCAGGAGGATGAGAGACGTGGTGACTCACAAGTCACCAGGTGAGCAGGAGGATGAGAGACGTGGTGACTCAAAAGTCACCAGGTGAGCAGGAGGATGAGAGACGTGGTGACTCACAAGTCACCAGGTGAGCAGGAGGATGAGAGACGTGGTGACTCACAAGTCACCAGGTGAGCAGGAGGATGAGAGACGTGGTGACTCACAAGTCACCAGGTGAGCAGGAGGATGAGAGACGTGGTGACTCACAAGTCACCAGGTGAGCAGGAGGATGAGAGACGTGGTGACTCACAAGTCACCAGGTGAGCAGGAGGATGAGTGACGTCATTCTGCTTCTGATTCTTCTTCTGCTGCTGCTTCTGTTTCTGTTTCTATTTCTGCTTCTGCTTCTTCTACTTCTGTTTAAGCTTCTGTTACTGTTTCTGTTTCTGCTTCTCCCTTTCGTCGTGCGGGTCTGGTATGGAATTCCCCCCCTTTCAGCAGAGAAGCCTTTTCACAATCGTTCATGTTGAAAATCCAAAACATGAAAAACATCAATCCAACCTTTTGGGTCCACTCAATTGTCACCTCGTTACAATGGCACACGACAAATCCCAAATATCATTCCTTCTGTTACGCCATTATTGCCTCACCCTCTTTCTCTCTTCCTCTCCGTTCCTTGAATCCCCCTCTTTGGGTTCTCCTTTTTCCTTTCATCTGTCCTTCTATTTCACTCCTTCTTGCCCCCACCCAATTCTCACTCATATCCTTCCTTTCTCTGTCCCCTCTCCTCCCCCTACTCTCCCCTTTCCTCTCACTCTTTCACCCCACCCTGCAGGGACTGCTACAGTACTTCCGCCTGGTGGAAGGGTGCTGGGACATGATCCAATCGTTTGAAGCCACGTCAGCACCGCCCCTGCGCTACAGCTGGATCGTGCGAGCCCGCCTCGACTCCCTCTGGACCACCCCCGCCCCCATCCAACCCCCGCCGCCCGCCCCACCGCCCGCCATTCCCCCTATTACCACTGCTGCAGCAGCAGAAACAGCGGCAGTAGCAGCAGAAGCAGCGGCAATAGCAGAAGCAGAAGCAGCAGCAGCAGTCTCAGCTGAGGAGGATATGTTTGGTAGCAGTGGGGTGGGTGACGGCAGTGGGGTGGGAGATGGGCTGGCCTATACGATTCCTTACGGGTCGGACTGGTGGGGTTTCAACGACCGGTTTGGGATGGGAGGCAGGCAGGCGAGTGCAGTTGCGTTGAGGCGGCTGAGTGCGCTGGATAAGATGGTGGCTGTTGGATTCAGGTGAGAGGGTGCATGCTGTGGCGTGGATGGGTGTATATTTGGTGGTGTATAGATGGTGGTGGTGGTTCAGGCGATACTGTGTGTGGGCACTCAGCAGCAGCGCTGAGGCGGCTGAGTGCGTTGGATAAGATGGTGGCTGTTGGATAAGATGGTGGCTGTTGGATAAGATGGTGGCTGTTGGATAAGATGGTGGCTGTTGGATAAGATGGTGGCTGTTGGATAAGATGGTGGCTGTTGGATAAGATGGTGGCTGTTGGATAAGATGGTGGCTGTTGGATAAGATGGTGGCTGTTGGATAAGATGGTGGCTGTTGGATAAGATGGTGGCTGCTGGATAAGATGGTGGCTGTTGGATACAGGTGAGAGGGGACAGTGATAGTGGCGTTGGAGGTGTGCATGCATGGTGGGTTGTGGGTGTGGTTGTGGGTGTGGGTGTGGTTGTGGGTGTGGGTGTGGTTGTGGGTGTGGGTGTGGTTGTGGGTGTGGGTGTGGTTGTGGGTGTGGGTGTGGTTGTGGGTGTGGGTGTGGTTGTGGGTGTGGGTGTGGTTGTGGGTGTGGGTGTGGTTGTGGGTGTGGGTGTGGTTGTGGGTGTGGGTGTGGTTGTGGGTGTGGGTGTGGTTGTGGGTGTGGGTGTGGTTGTGGGTGTGGGTGTGGTTGTGGGTGTGGGTGTGGTTGTGGGTGTGGGTGTGGTTGTGGGTGTGGGTGTGGTTGTGGGTGTGGGTGTGCCCACATGTGAGGCGAGGCGAGGCGGCTGGGTGATTGTCGAGACGTCTCAGAAAAGGCTGCTGGGTGATTGTCGAGACGTCTCAGAAAAGGCTGCTGGGTGATTGTCGAGACGTCTCAGAAAAGGCTGCTGGGTGATTGTCGAGACGTCTCAGAAAAGGCTGCTGGGTGATTGTCGAGACGTCTCAGAAAAGGCTGCTGGGTGATTGTCGAGACGTCTCAGAAAAGGCTGCTGGGTGATTGTCGAGACGTCTCAGAAAAGGCTGCTGGGTGATTGTCGAGACGTCTCAGAAAAGGCTGCTGGGTGATTGTCGAGACGTCTCAGAAAAGGCTGCTGGGTGATTGTCGAGACGTCTCAGAAAAGGCTGCTGGGTGATTGTCGAGACGTCTCAGAAAAGGCTGCTGGGTGATTGTCGAGACGTCTCAGAAAAGGCTGCTGGGTGGGTAGGGTACAAACAAACACGGGCTCGAGTCTAATCAGAACTAAAAGTGACCGCTGGGTGGGTGGGTGGGTACGAAACAAACAGATCCATTCTCGGACCTTTTTCAATGATGCCAGTGCTCGACATGCACACCCACGATTCTCTCTCACTCTCTGAGCCGTAAACAAAAAAAAAAAAAGGTGACCTAAGAAACGAGATGCTGGCTGCTGGGTGATCTTTCGGCCTTCCCTTCCCTGTCCCCTTCCCTGTCCCCTTCCCTGCTCCTTTTACCCCTCCCCTCCCCCTCCCCCTCCACCCAGCCAGCTCAACTCAGAGGTGATATTCAAGGCACAGACGGACATGGGGGGAGTGAGAGCGCAGCGTCAGAACCTCTCCTTTCCTTCCTCTCCACTTCCCCATTTTCCTCTTGGCCCCTTGCCCCCAGCCTGCTCAACTCAGAGATGGCGTTTAAAGCCCAAATGGACATAGGGAGAGTGAGAGGAGAGCGCCAGAACCTGTGTATGTTTTTCGAGAATTCTCAAAAAACATGGGGGGAGTGAGAGTGGAGCGCCAGAACCTCTCTTTCTGCATCCTCACTCGTCCGTCGCCACTCATTTCTACACCTTTATTTATCTGCCCCTTACCCCTCCTCCTTTCCGGCCCCATTCCCCCTCCCCCTTGCCCCAGCCAGCTCAATCCAGAGATGGCGTTTAAATTAAAGTCCAGATGGACATGGGGCAAGTGGGGGTGCAGCGCCAGAACCTCTCTTCGCCAGAATCACCTTCCCCTTTCCTCTTCTCTAACCCTTTCCCCGCCTCCGTCCCATACCATGCCCCCACCTCCATCCCCTATTATGCCCCCGCCTCCATCCCCTACTATGCCCCCTCCTCCCTCCCTCTCCCCTCAGCCAGCTCAACTCAGAGATGGCGTTTAAAGCCCAGATGGACATGAGGGGGTTGAGAGTGCAGCGCCACAACCTCACCTTCTCTTTCCTTTTCCCCATCCCCTCACCCTTCTCCTCCCCTCACCCTTCTCCTCCCCTCACCCTTCTCCTCCCCTCACCCTTCTCCTCCCCTCACCCTTCTCCTCCCCTTCCCTGCCCCGTTCCCTCTGCCCCTTTCCCAGCCAGCTCAACTCAAAGACGGCATTAAAGCCCAGGTGAACGTGAAAGGTGTGAGAGTGCAGCGCCACAATCATTCCTTCTGTATCCTTGTCTCCTCCGCCATTCCTGACCCCTCTTCCCCCCAACTTCCTACCCCTCCGCTCCGCCCAGCCAGCTCAACTCAAAGATGGCAATCAAGGCACAGATGGACGAGGGGCGTGACAGTGAGGCGACAGAACCACTCCTTCTGCATCCCCGTCCCCTTCCCCTACTCCTCTTCTTCCCTGCCCCATTCGCTCTTCTCCTCTCCCCTTTACCCCAGCCAGCTCAACTCAGAGATGGCATTTAAAGCCCAGATGGACATGGGGGGAGTGAGAGTGGAGCGTCAGAACCTCTCCTTCTGTATCCTCACTCGCCGAATGTACCCCTTAGAGGACGACTCGTGTCCCGTTAAGATCCTCAGCGCCACTGCCAAGGTGCCTCTGAACGGTGCCAAGTGCCGTCTGTGCACGCCCTGCAAGGCCGGGGAGGAGGTGAGGGGGAAACATGGGATGGGAGCGGCCGGGTGCGGTGGGGTTGGGGGGAGTTGAGTGCGATATTACGTGTCTTGCTGCCAAGGTGCCTCTGAACGGTGCCAAGTGCCGTCTGTGCACGCCCTGCAAGGCCGGGGAGGAGGTGAGTGGAAAGGCAGGGGAGGAGGTGAGTGAGGAGGGGAAGGGGGAAGAGGGGATCGGGGTGAGATCAGGATCGGGGTGAGATCAGGATCGGGGTGAGATCAGGATCGGGGTGAGATCAGGATCGGGGATATGCTTTCAGCCTCTTTTCCCCACCCACTCTCTTACCCTGCCAACCTCCATCCTCCCAACCCAACCGACTCCCCACCTTGCATGCTGAGAAGGCACTAGCTGCCATCCCAAGCACGGCCCCCAACTGGCCGGGCCCGTTCACTGAGGGTATAGACATCTGCTTTTAGCTTCTTTCCCCCACCACTCTCCACCCGCGCTATCTCCACCCCCCCAACCTCAACCCCCAACCTCAACCCCCAACCTCAACCCCCAACCTCCACCCGCCAACCTCCAATTCCCACACCTGCCAGGCTGAACAGGCACTATCTGCCATTCCCGACACGGCTCCCAACTGGCCTGGCCCGTTCACTCAGGGGATTGACATCAGCTCCCTTCACCAACCACTCTCCACCCTTGTAACGTCCATCCACCCAGACTCTGATTCCACTTTGCAGGCCAAAGACGCGCTAGCTGCCATCCCCGACACGGCCCCCAACTGGCCGGGGCGGTTCACACAGGGGATAGACATGTGCCGTCATCTTCCTCACCCACTTCCCAACCCCCCCAAACCTCCAAACTCCACACCTGCCAGGCTGAGCAGGCGCTAGCTGCCATCCCTGACACGGCTCCCAACTGGCCAGGGCCGTTCACTCAGGGGATAGACATGTGCTCCATCCACCAACCGTGGGAGGACATGTGGCAGCAGCAGTACGACGCTGTCATGGGCGCTGAGCTGGCACGCCAACGCCAAGCTGTCGTCCGCATGGCTGCTGACGTGGCGCTCTGCGTGCGATCTTTCGAGCAGGTACGAGGGGAGGGTAATCTGCCAGATGCCTCACTGTTATACTAAATTCCTTTTCTGGTATCTTTTCCCCCCCGTAAACGAACCAGAGGGTACTGAAACGGCTGAAACAGCTGGAACGGCTTGTTTCTCTGTGATGTACCTTCTGGCTTGTCCCCGTTGTCTCTCTGTGTGAGGGGCATTGGTTGCATCACATGCTCCCCTTCCCCCCCTTCCCCTTCCCTCTCCCCCTCCCCCTCCCCCTCCCCCTCCCCCTCCCCCTCCCCCTCCCCCTCCCCCTCCCCCCTCCCCCTCCCCCTCCCCCTCCCCCTCCCCCCTCCCCCTCCCCCTCCCCCTCCCCCTCCCCCTCCCCCTCCCCCTCCCCCTCCCCCTCCCCCTCCCCCTCCTCCTCCCCCTCCCCCTCCCCCTCCCCTTCCCCTTCCCCCCATTTCCCCCCCCAGCTCCGCGCCCTCTCCACTGTGTGGTCCACGCCCTCCCCCGTGCCACTGTGTGTAAGAGGCTTTAATTTGATCGCTCGGCATTCCCCACCTACCGCACCCCTGCCAATTTTTCCCTCACCCCCCTCCCCCTTCCCCCCCCCTCCCTCTCCCCATTTCCCCCCCCCCCCCCAGCTCCGCGCCCTCCCCCTCGCCTCTGTGCATAAAGGCATTTTGATTGCTGAACATCCCACCCCCCCACCTCCCCCTCCCCTCCTCCCCGTTGTTCCCCCCAGCTCCGCGCCCTCTCCTCTGTGTGGTCCGCTCCCTCCCCCTTGGTGCTCTGTGTGCGGGGGCAGCTGGGGGAGACGAAGCTTCTGGGAACCAATCCACGACAGTTTGCCACTTTCACGCGCCTGCTCTCTTCTACCAGGTGTGCTGGCTCAGGTGTTTTTTCAGGTGGGTTCGTCAGGTGTTGTTTCAGGTGGGTGGGTGGCTCAGGAGTTTTTTCAGGTGTGCTGGTGTAGGTTCATGTTTGCGGCAGGTGGTTCAGGTGGGGCCCAGACATCGGAGAGATCCCAACAGTCACGTGTGTGTGCCCTTGCACCGACTTTTGTTTGTTGTCCAACAGTCGTCTTACTCCCGGCGCTTTTTACATTGAAAGCATTCTCCTGAGGTTCAGGCACTCGTGTGTTGTGCGCCTTAAAAGTATGTCATATGCTGTAATACATGTGTGATGTATCCCTTGTGGCCGTTGAGCAGCAGTGTTGTGGTCTTCGTCTCCTCTCGCCCGGAATGGGATGCAGTTGCTAACACCAGTGCTACGGTGAATGGTATCTGAAAAGTTTTCTGAAACACCCTGCTCGCATCTCCTTTTTCACATGTATCCCGCTTGATTTTCGGGCAGTGTTGTGGTCTCCATCTCCTCTCGCCCGGTTTCCATCTCCTCTCGCCCGGTTTCGGACGCGGTTACCAACGCCAATGTCACAATGGCCGCAAGCGGCAGAGAAGGGGCGAGCAGCACACCAATGCACGCACATCGGAACTCTGGCGACAGTGAAACGAGCAGCAGAAGCAGCAGCAACACCAACAAAAGAAGTACTAACAGCAGTAGCAGCAGCAGCAGCAGCGCCAGTGGAACGAGCAGCAGTATCAGCACCAGACGAAAAATCATCAGCAGTAACAGGAACAGCACCAGCAGCAGAAGTAGAAAAAGTAGCAGCACAACCAGCAGGAGTGGTAGCAGCAGTAGCAGGAGTGACAGGGAGAGCAGTAGTGGCAAGTGGTGGGTAAGCAGCAAGAGGAGCAGAGATAGGAGGAACAAGGGCAGGAGGAGGAGAAGCAGTGGCGGGAGGAGCGACTCAAACTACAGACTGAGAAGGGGAGAGGGAGAGCGAGAAAGAGGAGGGGGGAGCAGAAGCGGCAGCAGAAAGAGACGGGGCCTCAGACGATTGCTCAGTGAGAAGGGGAGGGAGAGTGAGAAAAGTAGTGTACATGTTATTGACGGTGATGGTGATGATCTGCCTGGTATGATCAACGGTGGTGATGGTGAAGCACTCAAAGGCCCTGGTGGAGACTTTGCCGCCCCTCATGGTAACATCCCCAGCAGCATGAGAAACCAGTCTATAGAGTTAACGATTCTGCCTCTCCAGCAGAGTGAGGTGACTTTGACTTTCCAGTCGACTCAAAAGGCGCACATTAGCACTGCAAACCCGTTCAGAGCATCCCCTGTCTCGCTTTTCCGAAGCGAGGGAGAGGGCAGGCGGGAGGGAGAGGGCAGTCAGAAAGCAGCAGAGACCCCTTCCCCTTTCGAGAATTCTGAATGGGATGAACAGAAGCCAGCAGAGACCTCAGGCACCTGGGAAGCGGAGCTTCGTTCTCTCTTCCCCACCATCTCCATCCTCCATCGCCCTCCCTCCTGGTTGCAGCAATCGCAGCAAGCGGACAGCACGGAGCGGGAGAGGGGGGGGCAGGAGGATCAGGGTGGGGAAGGAGTTCAACGTGGGGAGGTGGCGAGGGAGGAAGAATACAAGCGCGAGGCCGAGGATGGGCTGCTGTGGCGGGTGGATGTGGTCAAGGTGCGTGCTTGGCTTGGAGGTTTGTAGAAAATGTGGGTAGTGAGACACTTTCGTGCGTGCGTGCGTGCGTGCGTTGTGCTTTCACGTGAGTGTGGTGCTTTCATGCATGTTGCTGCTATGTGCGTGCATGTTCTGATATATCTCATAATCCCGTGCGTGTGCATGTGCGTGCTTGCGTGCATGTGTGCGAGTGCATATGCGTGTGTGCGTGCGTGCGTGCGTGCGTGCGTGTGTGTGTGCGTGAGCGCGCATGTGTGCGTGTGCGTCTGCTACTGCCATACATACTCTCGCGCGTCTGTGTTGCCCCATAACGGGCTCTTCTTACCCACTGGTGAATGTGGACCATTTGGACCCTGCTGTGATTGCAACCTGGGCTACAGCCATGCTACAGCCATGCTACAGCCATGCTACAGCCATGCTACAGCCATGCTACAGCCATGCTACAGCCATGCTACAGCCATGATACAGCCAGCTACAGCCATGCTACAGCCATGCTACAGCCATGCTACAGCCATGCTACAGCCATGCTACAGCCATGCTACAGCCATGCTACTGCCATGCTACAGCCATGCTACAGCCATGCTACAGCCATGCTACTGCCATGCCATGCCATCCATTGTGGGGCGACAAACGGTGATACGAACCCTGTCATGCCCCTCTCAATTGCCTGCTTGCTCCCCTGCAGGTAGATGTGGCCGATCTCGACCCTGCTCTTATCGCCGCCTGGGCTACTGCCATGCACGATGCATTATCGTCAGGAAACACGCCACCACTACCATCATCACCATCACCATCACCATCACCACCATCACAACCAGCACAATCACCGCAGCCCCTACCATCGCCCGCACCTCGGCCACTCTCAGTGTGTCAGCTGCTCGTGTCGTTCCCCGTGGGCGAGGCAGCCACAGCAGGGAGACGGCAGATAGATGAGCAGTTGCAGCGAGCTGGCTTCCACCTGGCCTCCTGTGTCGGTTCCGTGCCTGACTGGGACCGCCAGTGCTGCTCCTACTTCCATGTGCGTAACTGTGTCCCCATTGAAGTGCACAAGTGAGGCAGCCACAGCAGCGAGACGGCACGTGGACGAGCAGTTAGAGCGAGCTGGCTTCCACCTGGCCTCCTATGTTGGCTCTGTGCCTAATTGGGACTGCCAGTGCTGCTCGTATACTTCCATTGCACAACTGTGTTAGACTAACGCTCACAGCATGCCTGCTCTGCTCAGTGGTTCTAATCCATTCAATCTCAATCTGGCCACCCAGCAGGATTGCACACGCTTGCACATGCTAATCTGTCACTTCATCTTCATTTACACAACCCATTGCAAGTACCGCACCGATGTTGATCAAATATATTACTTACACTGGGACTGCTGCACTCATTGGTTTGCACTCAGGGAAGAATGTGGTACAGGAGGGGTTGTTCTCACAAACCAATACAAGGATAAGTGAAAGAAAACTTTCTAAGAAAAGGTAACGCCATCTATTTGTTTTCAGTACAAAACACGGCAGCAAACTCTTGGTTCAAGGAAGCTACTAAGGTGATACGTTCTAAGATGGTGCGGCTGTACTCTGAGCTGGTACATCCTCCTTTGTATGCTCCGCGTAACTCGCCTGTTGTGGCTGTTTCTGCGACTCTACATCAGACGCGGTGGCGGTTACAGTCTCTTGTCGCATGCGCATGCAGGTCCACGTGGTGTCGATAATAAAGAGGAGAAGCGTCAGCGCGAACAGCGCGAGGAGCACGATTCGAAGAATCTCGTTTGCTTCCACTGCAATTGGGGAAAACGGAGAACATTGAGAACGGAATGAGGACGACATTTGAGAAAGTAGGCCTCCACTGCAAGGGGAGAAAACAAAAAATATTGTGAACGGAATGAGGACAGGTGTGAACGATGTGACGTGAGTTTCTACGATCGAAGGTTGTTACGGACCTAAGAATAACGTGGACGACTGCGGTCAGTCAGGCTTACTAGTTTCTGAGTGGCGCCGAGGAGGAACGTCGCCAACGTAATTCTTGCAATTGCGGTGGTGGTTATGACTGGAGAAACTCGAGACGAGGAAATTTGAAAAGTGGTCATCAGGTGAAACGAGATGTGGTTTTAGTTTGCAATATTGGACTCCCCAGGCAGAAGTCAGCGAATCGAAATAAAGCGGTTCCTTCAAGCTGACATACGGTATAACGCAATGGTGCAACCCTGCATACAAGTGAGAGACAGACGGAAAAAGGAGGGCATGATTTGGCTTTCTACAGAGAAGAAACGTGGTGACGAGAGAGGAACCAACAGCTCTCAAGTGGGATGAGAAGTTGAAAGTAAGCAGAAGTGGAATCACGATAGGGGCTGGTTGCTTGTATGAAGTTCCGAGGTACAACTCTGGTTGCCGTACTTCGTGTTTTCGCAATGGGCTTCGAAAAACGGCCACTCTTCGCACTGCAAGCACACCCACACCATGTCTCGTTCCAGGTTTGGTTTCGCCATTCTTCGCATACATGGTTTGATTGTGGGGTGGTGGTGGTGGTGGTGGTGGCGGCGGCTCGGTGGGATGCGCAGCGGGACTTGCGGAGGCAGGAATGAAATTGAGCAAGGCGATGGAATTATTGGCAATAATTGAAATATCAGGCTGCATGCGAGGTTAGGGCGAAAACGAATGTAACTGCACGCTACAGGTGATAGCTTTCTCTTGTTTGTCATATTGTAAGGAAATTCCCTTTTCCTTACTTCGCGTCCCTGCTCAATGCGTACATCACTGTAGCACCTCAGTCAGCACCGTTACCACTCACGACCATCGCATCATTCATCATCCCGCCCTTTTCGCACATCGCATCCCGACCTCACGGCTCGGCTGGTAACCCGCGCTCCGGGCCTACGCTTCGACACTTTCCCAACCTCAGTCCCAGGCTCGTCGCGCGACCATTACCGTTACCACTATAGTTTCGCTATATAATGTTCGCTCATGCCTTCGCTCAATTGTATTCTTGCTTCGATAGTGCAATTCTCGCTCGTTCACTCAATTGCACTCGTAACACTTGGTATTCAGAGCCTACGATCTCATCTCGGACCGCATCCACACCTTAGCTTCCCACTATCTCAATTTTTGGGGGGGGTAGACGTCTCTCAGCGACACAGCACCGCCGCTCGTAGTGCTCTCTCGAAAGCACGCACGGCCACGACCGAGGCTCTCGCTGAGCTTGCCCGACACCCCCGCCATGGCCGATTTCAATCTCGCCACGTTGACGCAGGAGCAACTCGATCGTCTCGTGCGTCAATTGGAGGATTCGGCGCTCGAAATCGCGACTCTCACGGCGGAACGTGACTCCGCCCGTCAACAGTCAACGGTGAACGTACCGACGACATCACACGCACAAACCAATGCATCTGCACATTTGGAGGAGCCCATCGTCATCTCATCCGGCACACCAACGCAACACAACAGCACGGGACAGCGCTCAGGCGCAGCCAGTGACGGCACAGCCCAACCGATGCCCGGCATGGGAGGGAACAGGAGCGCATTAAACCCACGGGAGCCCCGAGAAGCCCGTCGGCACGTGGAGTTTGCGGCGACAAGTGGCGAGAACGCCATGATGGCCCCAATGCCACTCAAGCCGCAACGCCCGCCCTGCTTCGACCCAAGCCAACGCGGCGGCCCAACAGTTCAATCGTGGGTCTTCACGATGAATGTGTTTTTCGACGCCAACTACGTCGAGTCGGACGCCGCCAAGATCCGGTATGCGGTTTCACTACTCAGGGGCCCCGCCATGGACTGGTGGCGAGTCATTGTGACGTCGCCGCGCGCCTACGAGCCACCGTCGCACGAGGAAGGGCCCTCGGGTCCAGCTGTTACCTGGAGTTCGTTCTGCGAAACCGCCCAATACAGCACGTGGGATGCGTGGTGCGCAGGACTTCGGGCGCGCTTGTCAGAATAATATATAAACCTACCGTATATATTGTTTTGTAACTGCCTGTAGTGTAGACTACTGTAGTTATATAATGTTCTGTTGTGGTGGTACACCTTTCATCTTGCCTATTTGTACTGCTCGCTCTATAGTGAAACCCCTCTTTGTTGAAACTTTCTCGACTCTCCTAACCCTACTCACTCGAGCTCGATCTCTACTACTGAACTCACTATGGCTTCTATGCCTTCCTACTAAGAACGTTTCTTCACATGTTATCAGAGTGAGGTTCCTATCCTAGGACCTGATTTTTTTTTCCCATGGGCCCACCACTTCTCGTTCCTGCCATGGCGCTCGTCGCGGCCTCCCAAGCACCCGTTCAGCCGCTAGTCGTGACGTCGCGCGTGGCGGGTCTAGGTCTGTTCGTCGCGGCCCCAGTCGGCGGCCCCGTCGTCTGCCCATCGCGCCCTCTTGCAACCTCGTCACGCCCGGTCGCAGCCCCGAACGTCTGCATCGACGGTCGCCTTGGGGGGAGACGGCGGGTGTGGCGGCCGAGTTACTTCAGCCGCCGATCGCACCCCCTGCCCCGCCCTCCCGTCGACAATGCGGCTGCTACCGCTGCAGCTGCCTCGCAAGCGACGACGAGCTGTGCGCAGGCGCTCGTCGCGGCACCTGTTGCACCCACCCGTTACTCCCCCTTCCTACCCGACAGCTCACCAACCCCACCCGAGCCCGCTGCCGTTTTCTTCCACTGTGGACGACGGTGTGGAGGGGGGGGAGGGGGAGGCGCGAGGGTGGTTGACGCCCCTCTGTTCGCTACTGCACGTGCAACAGTGTGGGGGGGAGGCTTTGGGGAGGCGGGTGTGAGCAAGAAGCTGCCGCCCCTCCTCTCTCTCTCACTGCCGCACGTGCCGCTGTGGGGGGGGGGGGGTGAGGGGGCGACGGAAGTCAGCTGGTCATCTGCTGCTGACGCCAGCTGCTGCCGTGGCACCTCCAGCTGCCGCCCCTGCTACCACCTACCTTTTTTTGTTGTCTCTGTTTTTTGCTACCTTGTGCTGGGGCCTGCAGGTGCTGCCGTCGAGCCGCTGCTGTCCTGCTGCATGTTGCAGCCACAGAGCCTGCTCCTCAGGCGACTTGCCGCCCCACCACCTCCTACTGTTTTTACCTTGGTAAAGGGGTTGGTATTGCTGGATCTGCCATCATTGCACCTGTTGTCATTGCACTTGCCTGTTGCTATGATTTCCGCTGCGGCCTATTTGGTGTACCCCATTATGGGGGCGTTGACTGCATATTCTTCCCTACAGGCACTTATGGGGGCGTGTCAGAATAATATATAAACCTATATATTGTTTTGTAACTGCCTGTAGTGTAGACTACTGTAGTTATATAATGTTCTGTTGTGGTGGTACACCTTTCTTCTTGCCTATTTGTACTGCTCGCTCTATAGTGAAACCCCTCTTTGTTGAAACTTTCTCGACTCTCCTAACCCTACTCACTCGAGCTCGATCTCTACTACTGAACTCACTATGGCTTCTATGCCTTCCTACTAAGAGCGTTTCTTCACAGCGCTTTGAGCCGATCGCGGCCTCGATTTCGGCGCGTCAGAAACTGCGCACTTGGCGCCAGCTCGGGTCAGTTCAAGACTACACCAGCGGGTTTCTCGCACTTTGCGAACAGGTCGGCTACATGCACGAGGCAGAGCGGGTGGACCGTTACGTCGGAGGGCTGAAGCCGGACATCTCGCACGAGATAATGCTACGCGGGCTCTCGAATTTCAACGAGATCCTCGCGCTCGCCGAGAAAATCGATATCCTACGCCGACCGAGACCGGGGTCCTATTACGGACATCGTCCTCGGGGACCGACCGAGCACGCCACTGTACATGCCGTCACAGCGAATGCAGCTGCCGCGCCGTTTAGAGGGCGCTGCTTTGCTTGCAACCGGCCGGGCCATCGCAAGAGCGAATGTCCAGAGGAGCTGAGGCGTCGAGGAGCAGAGCAGGGGAGGGAGTCTCGGAGGCAGGGAAACGCCAGCAGTCAGTAGAAGCTGGGCCAACTACTGGCGAGACTGCCTGCTCGCCCAACCACACCGACCCTCACCGAGTCACAGTACCGATTCACGCCATCGATCGGGCTCGGATGAATAAGGAGGGTATAGCGACGGATTGCCCGGTACTGATCTACTGGAAAATACAGGGAGCAGCAGTGAAGATCTTCATTGACGGAGGAGCAAGCCACAGCTTAGTTAATACCGCAACCGCACGAAAATTACAGTTAACGCTTTACCGATGTTTACTTGAGAT